TAAACCTTCTGAGGTTCTGTCATAATATTTGGTGGGGATTAATCCTTCCTTTATGCAGTTTTGGTCAACACCTATGTCGAATAGTGCTATAGTATCTATTTTGTATTCTTCATTAATTTGTATTGTTACTTTTATTAGGTATCTTTGGATGGCTACTTCTGTAAGTACCATCATGTAATCTTGGTTTTTGGAATTTTCTGTTTCAGACTCAGAAATATCTTGATTATGTTCTATTTTTTCAGGTTTTATCTGTCTTTTTAAGTTTTCTTGTTCTTTTCTTAACTGAATTATTTCTAACTTTATTTTTCTTATTTTAGAGTTTAATTCTTGTTTAGTTATCTTTTTAGGTTTTAGGTTTTCATATTGTTCAAAGATTATGTTTTTAATGATATATATTGGATCTGGTTTTACAATTGTTTGTTTGTTTTCAGTTAATTTTATCGTTTCTCTTAATTTTTCTAAATATTCTTTCTTAAGAGTGGCATCTTGGATTTTATCTATAATTTCTATTATGAATTCTTGGTCTTTTGTTAAGACTTGAATTTGTTTTTCATTTTCAGATTCTGAAGAGGACGAGGATGTGGTTTTGATTTCATCTATCTGTAGTTCATCTGATGATTCTGTCAATGTTTCTGTTTCTGTTGAAGATTCTATTAAGATTTCATTTAATTTCTGTTCAATTTCTTCATCTAAATGAAGTTGGTTTATTTTCCTTTTTATTCGGCAATATTTAGATATATGTCCCGTTTTTCCACATTTGAAGCATTTTATTGTTCTGTCTACCTGGTTTAGTTCTTTATTTTTTCTTTTTAATTTTCTATATTTTTTGTATTTTGGTGTCTTATAATATTCTTGGTAATTTTTTTTATGTTTTCTTTGTTTTATAGGTTTGGATGAACAGCAGGTTTTTGAAGAAGATTCTTGTTTAATATCAAATTGTTGGCAGAAAAATCCTAATTCTTTTGCACAGAGTTTTCTTTCTCGTTTTAGTTGTCTTTGTAACTTTAAATCTTGGCATATTTTTAATCCTTCTTTTTGGGTGAAACTTATTAATTCACCATATGTTAGGTTTTCATAAGGAATTATTCCTTTGTAGATTTCTCTAATTTGGTTTCTAACCTTTTCTCCTAATAATGTTGGAAGGCCGACTAAGAATTTTTTTTCCAGAATGGCTGGTTATTGTCTGTTCTTTGCATTATTCTTGTCATAAACATGTCTTTGTACCATTTAAAATCTGTTAATTTTTTGCATTTTAAATTTGACAGTAGTTCAGAATTTCTATCCCTAAGATGTGAGGGATCTCCTATGAAGTGTTTTGATATTGAAAAAATTAAGGTGGATACAGCATTTTGGATTTGTTGTCCTTGACTGTCTGTTATTATATTTCCTTTAGTGTCTTGTTTGACAGATTTTAAGATTTCTTGCTGTTGATTTGTGGAGAGATAATTATCCCACCATCTTTTTAATTGACCCGTAAAACCAGCAACCAGCATATATGCAATTGCATGGTCTGTGACTTGACCAGTTTGGTTTTG